TTCTTTGTTTGAGACCCCCCCACCCCATAGTCTTTGGCTTTGTCTTTAGTAACATTCCATCAATTCATTCTTAGGGTGACTGGTATACATTGTATTGAGGTTGAACATTGCTGAGGGAAGTTTTGTGGGTTTACTAGGCCTAGAATCAGATATAGCAAATACAAATTAGTTGGCGCTCATCTAGTGCTCCTCAAGGATCGTCCTCGGCCTTCATGATAAGATCTCTCATTACAAAGCCCACCTCAACTTTTTGAAGGGCTGTTCCTCTTTCTATGGATAAAGGGAAGGATTGCTTGGGGGATGGGGGGTAGTGGGATAAGATTTTCTGTTCACAAAAGTGTTCACACAGGAGCATCAAAAAGCATCGGCCAAGGTGGGCAGATGGCTTTCTAGGCTTGATGGACAGTGAGAGGTCTTTGCATCATCAGTGATAGAATTTTCCCTTTTCTACAATTGGTTATTGAAGGTTCATGAAGACCAATCAGTGGAAAATGTGCTCAGATGTGCTGCAAAGATCAGCCCATGTATGAGAATCATTAGAGCTTGCGGTTAAAAAGAAGGCGCCCCCACACATTCCTCGGAATGGCCAAGCGTTGTCACTGGGGCTAAACTGCTACAAGCCCCCCCCCCCGCTCTGTGTCCCATGGCCATTGTTGCATGGTACCAGTTGATAGCAGCGGGTCCGGGGGAAGGATCAGCCATTGAACAAGCTGGTTCTACTGTGAATCCAACTCTCCGATATACCAACTTTTACCCCGACCCTCTTCTAGCATGTCCGTACAATCGCTTGAAAATAATTCATCCTTCGCATTCATTTCATCATCATTAAGCCCTCGTTCACACCTGATCGTTTTGTAGCGCGTTCTACGCTCGACGAACGCTCTACAAAACGGTCAAAAATATAAATTGCATTGTAGTCAATGGTCTCGTTCCCACCTTGGCGTATTTCCTCCCGTCCCTAACGCCCCACAAAATGGCCCACGCCTGAAAAGGTCCAGGTGCTACTTTGGGCCGTTTTGTAGGGCGTTTTCCATTGGGATACAGCCAAGTAGCCTTCGGGAATCGCGCGACGGTCGCGCATATTACAATACGCCTAGGTGTGAATGGGGCCTAAACGTCACCCCAGTTATCATTCACCGCCTACAAATCACACTCCTCACACTGGGGCCTATTGTGCATTTGTAGTGGTGGATAGACTGCGTTATGGAAAAGTCTCTCCGTAACGTATTTGGTTTAAAGTAGTCACTCGCACTCCGTGATATTAAAGTCAATCGAGACCATGCGGTCCTGTTTGCCTGAGGACGGGACCGCACGGTCTCAAAACGCCGCTAAGGAGATGCGTGTTATCTCAGTCAATAAACAGCATTGACTTTAATATCATGGAGTGCGAGTGACTACTTTAAACCATCTTTCACATCCGTTGTCTTTGGGTTTTGGGTTTTTGTCCGGTCAGGAGTGCGATGGGACAGGAGGATTAAGTCTCTGTAACGTGGGAAAAAAAATGTAATAACTTGTTGCAATTTTTTAAAATGTGGTGTCTTTTTTTTGTATCGGTTGTCTATCGCGTGTTCACATCCTGCTGATGTGATGAATGGACCGTGGCTCGCTCGTTGTATTAACAAATGATTGTACGTTGCAGCTGTCTGGCCTTCCCACCACCTGCTCCTAATGGGCCCCACCTGGGACTCCAGTTTCCTATTTCGGTGTTAGCTGTGAGTTGGGCACCTGGTTACCCTGGTGGGTAATGGAACATAGGGGGGGGGGATGCTGATGGTCGTGGGGGGGGGGCTGTGTGTACAAATATTTACACATTGTAACGCTGACTGCTGTAAAGGGTCCCAGGAAAGTAAAATGTATTTTGCAGCATTTGGGTCTCGGAATTAAACCGCCTCTGGGGCCCGATGGCAAAAAAACCCAAACCAGACTGTGAAACATGTTTGTATTTCTCCTATTGTGTTTCTGAGAAGATTCCTGGGTGAGCTCAGAGCAGCGGGGAGAACCAGTCCGACCAGTTCAGCTTTGAAAACAGATACAGTTCACAGACACGGGATTTAGAGAGACCTTAAGGAGGAACTCCAGGCCCCCCAACCCCAGTGTCTATGGATGTATTCATTCAAAATCTATTTTCATATTATCCTAATACAAGCGCCTGGAATCTGTCTTTTTATTATCTTCCTACATACAGAACATTATGGTCCCAGTCCTGTTAACCCCACACACGGTTGGCGTTTTGGCTGCCAGCTTTCGAGGTGGGCACTCCTAAATCACATCCACTTTATGGGGTGCTTAAGCCCAGACACCCGTCTCCAAATATGTGGGGACCACCCATCACACCCACTTTACTGGATGGTCCTGCCCAGACCCTCGTCTCCAAATGTGTGGGGACCACCCATCACACCCACTTTACTGGATGGTCCTGCCCAGACCCTCGTCTCCAAATGTGTGGGGACCACCCATCACACCCACTTTACTGGATGGTCCTGCCCAGACCCTCGTCTCCAAATGTGTGGGGACCACCCATCACACCCACTTTACTGGATGGTCCTGCCCAGACCCTCGTCTCCAAATGTGTGGGGACCACCCATCACACCCACTTTACTGGATGGTCCTGCCCAGACCCTCGTCTCCAAATGTGTGGGGACCACCCATCACACCCACTTTACTGGATGGTCCTGCCCAGACCCTCGTCTCCAAATGTGTGGGGACCACCCATCACACCCACTTTACTGGATGGTCCTGCCCAGACCCTCGTCTCCAAATGTGTGGGGACCACCCATCACACCCACTTTACTGGATGGTCCTGCCCAGACCCTCGTCTCCAAATGTGTGGGGACCACCCATCACACCCACTTTACTGGATGGTCCTGCCCAGACCCTCGTCTCCAAATGTGTGGGGACCACCCATCACACCCACTTTAC